GGGAATGGTGCCGCTTAAATGAAGTCCGGGGTGGGGGAGGGGGGTCGTGGCTCAGTTGGTGAGGGTGGCTGCCTAGAATGCACAGGGCCTTGGGTTCCATCTCCAAAGGCAAAAGGATCAGAAACTCAAGGTCATCGTAGGTTACAGAGAGGGTGGGGGATATAGGAAAGCACTTTGGGAGATTTAAATAAAAACAAAAATCTTAATGATTCCTGGGAGAACAGAAGTGGGACTGCAGGATTCGCTTTGTCCTGGAGTCTCCTATCGCACTTGTTCGGAGGGGAACTCAAACCATCTCCCTCTATAGACTCTAAACTCTTGCCCAGCGTTTAGAGGCTGCTGTTTCATAGTAATAACTACCAGAGTGTTGAGCACTTACTACCCACCAAGTGCTGTTGTGAGTGCTTCATGTATATTCCCTGGCTTTATTCTCACAATCATATGAAGTGAGTACTAAGCACCTGACCCACACTTGATCCCTGTGGCAATGCTATAGGGTGGGAACTATGTTTCCCACTTCTGGATGAGGAAACTGAGACACAGAAAAGTTAAAAAAAAAAAAAAAACAGCACGAAATGGAGCTAAGACTTGAAAACAAGTCTACATGGTTGTAGCCCTTGCTCATTCATTCCTGGCTCCTCAAAGATAGCTCATCTGGTGCTGAGCCTTATCCTGAAGCAGAAGGCACTGGACATCCCTGCCTCCTGCGGACAGGCTCCTAACAGTTCAGGACACAGAAAGCAGATGACTCTGGAGCCAACCCCACAGAGCCAGTCCTTTGCATTGACCAGGTGGTAATACGGAGCCTAAAGCAACCCCTACCCATTGTCATTCAGCCAACCCACAAAATCATTCATGAACAATAGTCATGCTGTGTTGCACATCTATTGACTCCAGGGGAAAAAAAGCATCTACTGTGTGTTGACCCTGGAGTGTTTTATTGATGATATGACGTTTGTTGACTTATGGCAGTTTGAGAGACTGTCCTAAACCTTTACTCATATGTGGCTTAATTCCCACAATAACCTTAGCAAATGGAAACTATTATCAGCCCCATTATATACAGAGGAGGTTAAAACATGGGCTAGCTAGGGGCTGGAGACCTGGCTTAGAGCACTGTCTGCTCTTCCAGAGGACCCAAGTTCAATTCCCAGCACCCACATGGCAGCTCACAACTGTAACTCCATTCTAGGGGATCTGGCTCCCTCACATGGGCATACCAACTGCAGGCAAAACACCAATGCACATAAAATGATAATAAATATATTTTTAAAAACATGGGTTAACTAGCTTCCCACAATTACTATCAAAAATTTTATGTTTATTTCCAAGAAAGGGATTTGACATCTTTACCAAGCATATGCATAACTGAGATTAATATTTCACCAGTTTTTTTACTTCAGTATGTGTGATGCATTCTGATATTTTCTACTTACTTTGTATTTTATTCTGTGCTATTTTTTTCTTAAATTATGGTCATAAATGCCCACACAGACAGGGGGCCAGTTTAGATGATTTAGATCTTACAAAGCACTTGCTTTGCATACACGGCACCCCAGATGAAAATTAAAATTATGCTTTTACCTACATGTAGAAGCTTAAAGAGCTGATTGGTGGAAGTAGAAAGCAGAATAGTAGTTGCCAGCAGCTTGGCCTGGCAGGGAAAACGGGCTGGAGAGAGTGGGCCGTGGGGACAGGCACACTGTGACAAAGGAGTGGGGATCTAATGTGGGCTTCTGTGGTTGACAACGATTAATTATACACATCAAAATAGCTAGCAGACAGCATTTTCAATGCTCCACCAAAAAAGGACATGTGTTTAAGGTGATGGATATGCCCCATTAACCCAATCTGTGCATTGTGCATTGGCACGTGTAATGAAATGTCAAAGTCTGCCCCATAGATATGTACAATTATTGTGTGTCAAGGAAAATTTTCTAAGTATATTTTTAAAGTTTTGGTCATGACCCACTAAATTGATTTCATAACCTATTAGTGAGTCACCACTTGCAGCTTACACAGACTGAGTCAACAGCTGACAGGATGGAGGCCAGGATGCAAACCTCAGTGAGACGGCTCCACAGCCATGCCTTGGGATAAAGTACAGCTTGGGCAGGCATGATAGGTGCCTGAAACTCAAGAGACTCAGACAGGAAGATCATGAGATTGAAGCCAGCCTGGACTACATAGCAAGTCCCTGTCTCAAAAATCAGACAGGAGGGCTGGAGAGAGGGCTCAACAGTTAAGAGCACTTGTTGCTCTTGCAGAGGATCCAGGTTTGATTCTCAGTACCCATATGGGAGCTAGCATCTATCTGTAACTCCAGTTCCAAGGGATCCAAAGCCCTCTGCTGGCACCTTCTCCAAGGACACCAGGCAGGTACAGAGTGCACTTACATACATGCAGGCAAAGTACTCATATACATAAAATAATTTACATAAAAATAAAAGGCAGACAGATAGTAGGTTGGGGAATAATAATTCAGTTGCCTCAACCAGAAAAACTTGGGTCCCGAAACCTGGGATAGGGGTTTTGAGGGAATGAGGAGATGACAGACACACAGACAGTGAAGCTAGGAGGGATTAGATGGGGTTCTGCTCCCATTACTGTTGTAACCTGAAATCTCAGTATGTTTATTAAGCACAGCACAGGGGAGGAGGTGGTCAGCTAGTCTGGGTAGGAGGGTTCGGTAGGTTTCTTAGGGAGCAGTCTTAGACTGTACACACCTGGAGGAGGAAGCTGCAGTTGCTAGTCTTTGCCCACACTGATCAATAACTCATAAACTCTCATACCCGGACTCCCAAGAAAAGCTTTGCCCTTTCTTTTTAGCCTTTGTCAATTGTCCCATGGGACTCAGGTCTTGAAGTCCATGATATGGGTTTGCCCATGCCAAAATACACATTTAGTCAGTGAAAGGTTCAGGCATTATGCTAGCCTGCCCCTGTTACCTGGTGGAACAGGCAGTACCCTGGTCAGCCCAAGGTTCCATGGGAACTAAGTCTGCACGCAGATACAGAGGACACCTTTAAAAGATAGGCCCCTGCCCATTTACGTTCTCTGTTCCCTCTCTCTGTTCCCCTCTCTCTGTTTCCCCGCTCTGTTTCCTCTCAGCTTCCTTTCTCTCTCACCTATGTGCTCTCTCTATAGCAACCGGCCATGGCGGTCAGCTATTTACCCCTGTTCCTCTTCTTAGTCTCCCCATTCTGCCGGGCCTTATAATTAACTTATAGTCTTATGTCTCATGTCTCAGCATTTCTCTTTTCTTCTTTTTAAACAAAAGAATAACAGTCAGGACTTCACTCACTCAGGGCTGTCTCTATTCCTACTTCAGTCAGTAACATTCATGAGAACCTGAGTTAGATCCCTTCAACTCCCTTAAAAGGGGCATGGTACCTCATGCCTATAATCTCAGACAGGAGAATTGCACCAGCTAGCCTCACCCACTTGGTGAGTTCCAAGCCTGTATCAAAACCCCAGGTGGTGGGAAAGGCTGGAGAGAGGGCTCAGCAGTTAAGACCACTAGCTGCTCTTGCAGAGGACTCTAGTTTGGCTCCCAATACTTACATGTGGGCTCACAATCATCTTTAACTCCAGTTCCAGGGGATCAGATGCCCTCTGCAGACTTCCATGGTAAACAGGCATATATGAGGTACACAAACATACTTGTAGGCAAAACACTCATACATACAAAATAAAAACAAAGAAAAAACTTTAATCAAGGTGTGTGGAACTGCAGGATTCCAAGGTTTCCTGTGCTGGGCAGCAGGACTTAGGCCATTGTCACATTACCTCTGCTGCCTGAGTCCATTTTCCAGTCCACCCATGTCCTTCATAGGCATTATTTGTGACTTTTGTACTGTCTGTCTGTTTGCAACCCTCCCTGGGTGTGTGTCTGTGTGTGTGTGTGTGTGTCTGTGTATGTGTGTGTGTGTCTGTGTATGTGTATGTGTGTGTGTGTGTGTGTAGGCCAGAGGGCAACCTGGCTTTTCAGGTTCCATCCACTTTGATTTTAAAAGTGATTTATTTGTTTTTATTTAATGTGTATGAGTATTTTGCTTTCATGTTTGTATGTGCTCTATATATTTGTGCTTGGTCCCTATGGGTCAGGAAAAAGCATCAGATTCTCTGGAACTGGAGCTACAGATGGTTGTAAGCCACCATGTGGGTGCTGGGAACCAAACCTGGGTCCTCTTCAAGAGCCACAAATGCTCTTAACTGCTCAGCCATCTCTCCAGACCCTAATTAAAACTAACTAAATAAATAAATAAATACAAACTTTAAAAGTGAGGAAGTTGGTGACATTGTTCAGTGAGTAAAGTCACTTGTCTGCATGCCTAGCAGCCTGAATTTACTCCTACAATTCCCCATAAAGATAGAAGAATATGGGGCTGGAGAGATGGCTCAGTTGTTAAGAGCACTCTGCCTGCTCTTCCAAAGGTCCGTGGTTCCATTCCCAGAAACCACATGACGGGACCCATGTGTATTGAGATCTGGTGCCCTCTTCTGGCCCGCAGGCACACATGTAGGCAAACACTGCAAACAACCCCACAAAGTTATCCTCTGACCTCCACACATGTGCTGTGGCATGCAAGTCTACACACACACACACACACACACACACACACACACACACACAC